AGTTGAACCCCCTTGTCAAGTTGGTCTTGTTGTCCTTGTTCCTGCTTATCTGGAAGGTTTATTCTTTTTGTTCTTGGGACCACGGTCACTGAAAAGTAAGGGGAAATATAAAAATTTGAGTTGACACCAGAACAGAACTAGAGGGGAAATCTTCCAAAGTGCACACTTGTATTGGTAACAACAGTCTCAGGCAGTTCATTTTGTTAATAGCTGGAGCTCCCCTTTGACTCGTGCATTGGTGGCCCCACTGCAAGGATAGTTTTTTTGGTTTGCCGCAGATGGTTTTTAAACCATTAGAAAATGCATGCAGAGGGTTTTTGAGAATTTTTTATTTTTGCAGAACTTGATTTGCTTTTTAATGTGTAAGGTATAGTATTACCAAATTCTTCTAGATATGGCACCGGATGTTTCTAGATCATATCCGCATACACTGTAAAGTTCCATGTTCTACATTTGTAGAGAAGCCAGATAAGCAGTTCTCAGTGGCAAGGGTGTCGGTGTCAGTATCTGCCCTTTTTATTTCTTGCGGTGTTTGGTCAAATGGTGCAATTTCTTTATTGCTGTCCCCTGAAATGTATTATTATCTTCCAGTTATTGCCTGAAGCTTGCATACCTATTACAATACCAAATTCATTGTTTATTGAGCTCTTCACATCCCGTTAAATCTTTCTTCCCCACATTTCTGCATGATCAGCTAAGACAGACAGAGTGAATAAGGGACCTTCAGTTATTACTACAAATAAATGTCCAACCCTGGGTTTGAATTGTGTTCTTGTCTATGTGCTGGAACTTATCACAGCTACATTAATTGAGCTGCCAACCCGACGCTTGCTGCAACTGCTGGCACTTCGTAATCACTGAAGAAACAATTATTGATCACTGGCGTACTGCTTTTAATAGGCTCTGTTGTTAAAATGACACCTTTTAATTCATTCAGTACATGTCGGCTTTATTACCTGTTCGATATGCAAGCTGTATTATAAAATGCAGATCTAGTAGACTGCAAATCTTCTTCTCTTTTTCAGTTGATGTCTTAAAGGGAACAATTAGGTGAATTGTGCCTCGGCAGTACCCTATAAAATCTACCTTTTTTTTTTTTTTTTTGTTTGTTTGTTTCCACTTTAATATAAATGGTATATTTCCTGTTTCTAGACACTCTCTTATGTCTGTACAGTTCCAGTGTAAAATCTAAGGCACTGCTGCCTCTTAACTGCTAGTCTTAATATATTTGGAGTGAGATGAAGGCGATGTCCCTTTGCTGCTCACTGTTGTCCTTGCTTGAACGTAAGCTGTATCTGAGTACGTGCAGTGAAGTGATATCTCTGCTTCAGATTCTTTCATTCTGTGGATCTGTGATTCGTCCACCTTTCTGCTGCTATTTGAATAGTACCCCACTGGCCATCAGCTTATCATTCATTCCAGTCACAGTTCTGATATGAGGAAGCAAAGCCCTCTTCCACTACCGAAACGGTCATCTCCACATGGAGACACAGCGTGGAACAAGATATGGTAAGTCATTGATGAGATAAATATCAACTAACAGGAAACTATATACAATATTGGTGACTAGTTCTTTCCCCTCTTAGGGCCGGTGCACATCTAGGCGACACCCCACCACGTGGCAATCGTGCACGATTCTGCACAAATTGCCGTGTGGTGAGTAGTCGCCCAGGTGTGCACCGATCACGCTATGGGTGTCGTTATTTTCCAGTTGCACCGGGCGAATTGAGCGGTTTCCCGCCGTGATTCCGCCTGTGCTTCTGAACACGAAACAGCTGCGCGTCGTGGATTGCAGAAAAATGGTACTTGTACTACGATTGCCGGGCGGTGGGGTGTCGTCTAGGTGTGCATCGGCCCTCACTTTTTGAGGCACAGCTTCCACAGTGCAAGCCCTTAAGGGAAAGTGTTGAGTAGTTGTGGTATTGTGCTAATGAAAAAGATGAGTTTTGGCAACTAGATCTCTGTATTTCACTGCAATCCAGGCAAGCAATGGTTAACAGCTCTAAAGCTATATAGAAAGTTCCTAGTCCCTTTGTCTGCTAATGTGAAGTGAAGCAGTAAAGAACCACTATGTAGCACTGCAGAATAAAAAGCAGAGTCTGTATGTGTATAAAAAAAATGTCTACCACCATGCAAAAATATAATTTCAATCTTCACATAGAAACACATTTTTTTTTAAGGTATTAAAAGGGTATTAATGACACTAAACTCGGGAGTTAAATCTTAAAAATGCATCCAAATATCTTAACTATTACCAAAATTGTACCTTATTTGTGTATCAGCTGTAGATCCTCAAATCATCTCTGAATTGGTGCTGACACTGTCCTTCCTTCTGGAGGGTGGCTACTTTTGTTCCCCATGGTCCCTGTGTGTGTTGTAAAGTAGTCACTGCTCCAAACTTGCTCCTATGATGGACTACAATCTCACTACACATTGATTAAGTAAAGAGAAAATTGTAGTCCATCACATGAGCAAAGTTGGAGCGATGGCTACTTTACAACAGAAGGAAGGACAGTGTCCGTGTGAATTCAGAGATGATTTGAGGATCTACAGCCGGGTGATAAACAAATAAGAAACATTTGTGTTACTAGTTAGGGACTTGAATGTATTTGTATGATTTAACTCCTGAGTTTAGTGTCACTTTTAAGCTAATCGTCTTCACATATATACAAAGCAAACTAAGCATCCTCCAGTTAGAGGTTACATCTACTTAGAAGATGTAACCTCTAACTGGAGGACGCATTCCCTTTTCGTGTTCTTTTAAAGGGGTTTTAAAACCTCCCGGTTTTTTTTTTTGCATATATCTACTTCTAGCAAGCAGTAGATATATGCAAAAAACTTGAAGGAAAAAAAAGCTCTAAAAAGGGTTTAGGGCTTGTTCACACCAAGTGCGGAGCAGTTGCAGACCGGATCAAAACTGCGTCCAATGTATTCCTATGGTATTTTGAGCTCCAGTTCACATCGCAGCGTGCAGATCCAGAGCAGGTGAAAAAACTGCGGCAAGCCCTATTTTACCTGCTCTGGAACGCATCAAAAACGCATGCAAGTGCCTGAAAGCCCATGTGAAACTTAATTTTTTTTTTTTTTTTACCCAAAACGTAGCACAACCCACTGCACTGCGTGTGCAGAAACCTGACCGGATCTGCTCTGCATTTGGTGTGAACAAGGCCTTAAACTTACCTGCGTCTTCCCCACGCGCTCCCGTCCGAAAATCTGAAAAATCAGGCGGGCGCCTGCGCTGTTCAGATTTTCGGCCGGGAGACGAGGAGAGACACGAGGTAAGTCTATGAATGGTGTGCACCTGCATGCAGACACTGGGACAGGAAGTGCCAGCAAGCACAGAGGAGCCAGCGCTGGATCGGAGACCCGCAGCAGCAGCGCGGTCAGCCTCTGGAACGCACTGGATCGCACTCTGTCCTCGTGAAAAGTGGACACATTTTCCGAAAAACACGATTTTGCTTATACGGTTTGCTCACTATGCAAGCTGTAAGCAGCTCCAGTTGTGTTTTTTTTTTTAACTGCTCTGTGAAGCTCGGTAAGAAAGATCAATGTTTTATCAGACAGGAAGTGAGGTAACTCTCCAACAGCAATACAGAAGAAAACAAAAATGCTTTTCTTTAGTAAAAGAGTGGAAGATTATTTCTGTCTGTTAGAGATTTACCCTAATTTCCTGTTTTGTGAACTGTTGTCAGTAGTACAAGGCGTGAAGTGTAATCTCTCTAATGTAGCCCCAGATAGAAGGAAAACACCAACAGGACTTCTAATGCTTCCCCATTTCATCCAAAATTGGAAAAAAAAGTTTTGGCTTGCTATAAACCTTAAAGCTGAACTTCAGGCACAAAAACTTTCATTTAAATGTATTCCTCAATGGCTACAAAGTATATAAATCCACTTTGTGTGTCAGTACATGCATTTGTTGGTTTGAATGCACCAGGGCTGTTAGAGGTATACTGCAAGCAATGGGCTGGCTCTTGGAAAGCATCAAGAAAATATCAAAATGCTTTGATGGGTGGATGTCATTCTGGAGGAGTGAGCATTCTGAGGCAGGCTGCATTTGGATGTGGATGAAGTTGCAATAAATGATGCTGGATGTTCCCCATCCTTAAATTTGAGGCGAGTTGTGTGTGGTAAAGGTTCCAGTCCTGTACTGAAAAAGGTAAAGCTGGAGTTTAGCTTTTTAATAAATATAATACAATGTGGACGTCTCTTCACTGGCTTTCAACAAATAGGGAAAAGTGGTGTTTTACTTAAAGGAGAATTATGAGGCGAGTGATTTTCACTCAGCCTCATAACCTGAGCCGACCTGTGACCAATGAAACTATCACAGGTCGGCTCAGTAGATCGGGAAGTGAACGAACACATACCGGCGCTCGCTCACTTCTCGATCTATCCCTGCAGAGAGCCGTGACTGTCACTCATGGCTCCCTGCAGGGATTCCTCCCCTGTCCGATCCTCCAGCGCTGACTGGAGAAACGGACGAGGAGGGGGCGGGCACAGCTGGCTCTGCCTCTAAATAGGCAGAGCCAGCTGTCACTCACGCAGCTGGGTGGATCCAGACAGTATTGTCGGGATCCGTCCCGGCTGTGGCGTCTCAGTATACAGCTCGTGGTATACTAAGCTTTGGGTAACGGGAGGACGCTAGTTTGTGTTCTCCTGTGACCCTTAGGAGAACTATGGGGAAAAGCCCTGACCCCATAGTTCTCCTTTTAAACATTTTCAGCAATACTTGCTGATTCCAGTGTGACACTGACCGTTTTGGCTGTTGACAGGTTAACCGTCTTGGATGTTGAATCTGTGGATGCTGTTTTTTTTTTTTTTTCTTGCTCCAGTAACTGGCTGACTGGGAATATTAAATGAACAAAAATAAGACCCTTATTTATCACAACATTTGGTAGGTCTGTAAACAAATAGATCTTTTATTTGTAGATAATAAAAGCGCTACGTTAGTGCTACATATGTGTAAACACAATGCATGCTGATCATGTTTATTTTACTTTCAGATATGTCTGACAACACAGATGATACAACACCTAATGATGCAACATTGCCAGATCCTGAAGAGGTTGTTTCTGACCCCGAGGTCTGTTATTAAGATAAATATAAGATGAAAATCATTAGAGATTAAATCTGGCTGTCGTATCTGTAGATGGGAGACATACACAATTAGGCTAAATTCATATCTCTGAATCCTTATTGTGCTGTATGTTGAGGCATTTTACTAAGGCTCCTTTCACATAGGTAGTCCAATCCGGTCCGTCAGTTTTTCATGCGGATCTGATTGGAAGCCCAATGTAACTCTATGGGCAGTTGAATGTAAATGGATTTGTGTCTGTTTACATCCTATTACCCCTGACTCTATCCAGGTCTTGGAAAAAAAAAAAACGGAACAGAGTTCCCTTTTGGCGGACCTGATTGTGACGTATTGGAGGTAATCAAATGTCCTCCTAGATTCGACTCCCCATAGACTCAAGATGGTCTGCACTGCTTTTATTTTCTCCCTAGGCATTTGTGCTAGTTGCAGGTCCTCCAAGCATATGCTTTTCCATGCTGTCAGGCACTGCAGACCTAGTGGGTTGCATAGATTGGGTTTTTGCTCGGATAGATACCTTTGTTTCATGTTTGCTCGTGTATTAAGGGCCCACTCTCCTCCTCAATCCCAATTTAACCGCAGGTCTCTTCTCTTGCTGCAGAGAAGAGAATATCCTTTATTGTGCAGTGGTTCTTGTTGAGCCTTCCTGGTACATTCCCTGCTTCCATGGCTGTGTGACTGTTAGTGGTCTCAGCAGTGTCTAAGCCCCCACTGTGTTTTTACCACCTCTCCTGGGCTTGCTGTGCACTGTTCCAGGTTATCCAGGGTGCCTGTGCTGTGGAGCTTTTTCTATTTTAGGTGGTGCAGTGGTTGCTCTGGCGCCCTCAGCCTGGAGTCTGCATGGGGCTGCAGATTGACCTACCCTCAACTATAGGGGAACCCAGGGCTGTGAGGCAGTGTGTCGAATGTCTCTGACTGTGATGCAGTTCTGGGCATCTGGATGTCACACTTCCAGTGACTCACTTCCGGGTGCAGAGGTGTGTTGTGGCCTACTCAGCGTGGGTCTCACTGCTACTAAGGCGGCATAGATTTTACCTTGTGCTGGAATGCACAGGCATCAGGCGTGTGAGATTTAAACCTTGGGTAGAGTTGCATGTCATTTTTTTTATTTTTTTTTTGATCGGTTTCAAGCTCTGGCAGACCATCTCTGATCAGCTGCTGTTGCAGTCACATTGCAGTCACATTCCACCATGCCAATTGTTAGTTCAAGTCCTGCAGACCTGGGCACCAACGGCTTCCAAGTCGTTCAGAGTGCTTTTTGTATTCTTTCACCTTCCTCCTTCTCCATACTGTGGGGGGGAGCCCAGTATGAGGTACCCTGGGGAGGTGTGGCCTTTTTCCTGCGTGCTTGGTTGCTTGTTTTTACTTTCTTGGGGTTACCATTCCTGCTCTGCATTTGGTGGTGAGCTTGATTTTTGCCTCTTCCTTTTTTTTTGTTCTTCTTTTTTATCTTGGCTTCTTTGTGCTGTTTTTCAGGCCAAAGCCCCAGTAGAGAATGGCTCACACAATATTTCCTAGACCTGCTGTAGGAGCAAAAGATGTGCCTCTCGTAACATACATTTATCTCCATTCTGTGCAAAATTGAGTCGTCAAGATTGTTCAGAGGCCTTTTTGATTCTATGAGAAAGATGTCATCGGTATTTCTGTCTTTTTAGTTGTTACTGCAGAGCTTTTCACCCTAGTCAGCAATTCCTGCACCTTGAAAAGGTCCATTCTTTTGATGGAATTTTTTAGTCTTAGGACCAAAAGGGGATACTTCACTTGCAGGTCACGGCCCTACCATTTGGCCTGAAATTGAACCCCAGGTTTTTCATGAATGTGTTCGCTCAGGAAATTCATCTGTTTGAGACACCATGTGATCAGAATGGTCCCCGACATTGGTGACCACCTCCAAAAAAATAACCTGGTGGAGAACCTACATATATTGATGAACTGCCTCAAAACTCCATGCTGGATAATCCACCGATAAAAATCTCACCTGACCCTATGCCAGAGTAATCTTATTTGGGGTACATGGTGAACTCTGTAGCTATGTGCATTTTTCTCCCAGAAGAAAATCTTAAAGCTCAATGAACAGTGGTAAAGCTCCAACTTTCCTCACAGGTTTTAATAACTGAAATGATGAGACATAGACCAAATGAGATTGGCTATCTCAGCTGTTCTTTGGGTGCAACTACAGTCAAGGCCCCTAGAGAATGTTTTGCCACGCCACGTGTCAGATGGCACGGCGGCTGCAGAACAAAGGGGGAGGTTAAGTGAGCAATTGCTGTGTGTTCCAGCAGCTACCGCTCTGCAACGCACTGCAATTGATGTGAATGGGACCTTATCTGCTCTCTTTAACTTCCTGTGAATGGTAGTGTCCTACAACCAACATATTGTATGAGTCTTCAATATTTTTTTCTCTAAATTCTTTGCCAAGTCATTTGAATTTTACATCTAATCTGGGGTTTGTAAGCTATAGAAAAATGTGACTCTTTGGCATCAACTGTGTGCAAAGCTGAATATTGATATCGAAACAATAGATTTGCCTAGCAAACATTTTACACTAGAAAATAAGCATACTGTCAGGGATGGTTTTATTTGATGAAACGTGGAAAAAGGTTCAGTTTTTAAATGAGATCCGAAACATACCATACGGGAGGGATCGCTCTGCTTTCCATTGTGTGAATTCTACAGCATATAACTGCTTCTAAATAAACAATGTCCCTTGTACCGTGTTTCCCCGAAAATAAGACACTGTCTTATATTTTTTGGGGCACAAAAAACACACTCGGTCTTATTTTCAGGGTAGGTCTTATTTTTTTTTTTTATGCACAACAATCCACACGTATTCATGTACAACAGTCTACATGCATTCATGTACAAAAATATGGTGATCAGGGCAATCAGGGGTGCCGTACCTTTCCAAGAGCAATTTGCTAACCAATCACTGGCCAGAATGAGCGAAGCGCACTTTCACTATCGATTCCTCACAGGCGGAGTGCATTTGGTATCACAGTGACAGGAGCCGGCGCTATAGAGGAGGCAGCTCTTCAAGTTGCCTCTAATGCCACCACCGGCCCTGGGAATGGTCATACTAGGTCTTATTTTCGGGGTAGGTCTTATATTTTAGCACTTCCCAAATATAGTACTAGGTCTTATTTTTGGGGTAGGTCTTATTTTCGGGGAAACAGGGTAATATATCCCTTCTGCTGGTGTAGCAGAACTGCTCAGTTTGAATAAATAGTTTAGTGATACAGATCCTAGAGAATAACATGATGACAACGTTGGCATTTAACAAAAATGTACTTCTTTATAAAGACTTCAAACAAAAATTGTTTCCCCCTTTTTCCTTTATTTCAATTTATTTTACTCCTCTGGACCCAGTCTGCTCAAGTAAGAAATATTCAAGTTGTGCACATACACATTAACCCCCAATTGATATCGCAAGATAAATATGAGGGAAAAAAATCCTGGTAACCTGCTCTCAGTTTATTCATTGCTATGTCTACCATAGCTGGCAGCTCAGATGGTTTTGAACTTATTACCACTCTTTACAGAGGTCCCTTGATGCAGCAGTGTGCTATTTCATGTATTTGCAAATGTATACTACTAAAAACGCTGCCTGGAATCTGAGATGTTGAGTTTAGTTGCAGTTTGTAATTAGGTTTTGTGACTTTTTTTCGTATTGCTAAAAATAAAATCTGGATGCTATAAAAAGTGTTGTCCTTACCTGCTTGCACTGTGTCGCAGGCAGAAGCGGACCACTGTGTATGTGAGTGCAGTGGTCCCTCGGCAGCAGCAGCACACGCACAATTCTTTTTTTTTCTCTGAAAGTGTATGAGATTTATTTTCCAGGCAGCTCATAGACTTGCATTGTGGGTAAATAAACAAATAAAAATACTTTTATAATTACAAATTATTCGCAGAAATAAGGCCTCTAAAATATCCACACTTATTGAAAAGATTATTTACTTCAAGCCGAACTTTTTAACATGTTTAAAGGAGAACTATGGGGTAAGTGTTTTCACCCCATAGTTCTCCTAAGGGTCACGGGAGGACACAGAGCTTTGGTTCTCCTGTGACCCAAAGCTCAGTATATAGCGGGCTACAGCTCGCGGTATACTGAAACCGCCGCAGCTGGGACGGATCCCGACATTACTGTCGAGATCCACCTAGCTGCATGATTGACAGCTGGCTCTGCCTATCTAGAGGCAGAGCCAGCTGTACCCTCCCCCGTCCGTTCTGCCAGTCAGTGCTGGAGGATCGGAGCAGGGAGGTGGAATCCCTGCAGGGAGCCGTGAGTGACAGTCACGGCTCTTTGCAGCGATAGATCGAGAAGTGAGCGAGCGACGGTATGTGTTCGCTCACTTCCCGATCTATTGAGCCGACATGTGACAGTTTCATTGTCACACGTCGGCTCGAATTATGAGGTTGGGTGAAAGTCACTCACCTCATAGTTCTCCTTTTTTAATGTAAACACTGAAACATGCGTTTGGATGTTCTGCCTTCTTGGTTTCAGTGTTTTTTATAGTTTCCACATTTCAAAAAAAATTAAGTGCTATGTAGACCTCTTTTTCATATGAGAGTTCATTGCTGTTATCTACTTTAGACCTTTAATTTGTCGTGACTGTGTGTGTGATTGATCATTAGCTGCTCATGTAATTCGCATTACCTTATGTTCTGAGTGCCTTTGCTAGAATGTAGTGGGTAAGGTTGGTTATATTTTGGTCTTGATTTAACCACTTGAAGACTGGGGTGCAAAACCCCCTTCCTGGCCAGGCCATTTTTCAGTGTTCAGCGCTGCGGTATTTTGACTGACGTTTATTCCGTCATGCAACGCTGTATGGAAAATAAATTTATACGGACACCCGTAGCAGAATCTGCTACATGAGCTGCTTTCCTGTGTTTGTGGCACGTGCAGCACCTATTGAAATCATTAGGTGACTTGTGGCAAACACGGGGAGGTGTGAATGGGGTCTTAGGGTTTCAGCATTGTTAGAAATACATGTTGGGTGTTGCTGCCAAAGGCAGCCAGCAGAGGTCACTGTTAGAATGATAAATCCATCTAAAAATGCTAGAGAGGTACAGCTACTGTTCTGAGTGGCTGGAAGAAAATTAATAAGAACAAATACCCTTGAAGCTGCATATCCGTTTACTGAGTGATTTCTGGGCCTTGTAGCTGTTCATTTTTTCAGTGTAATTCTGCTCTTTCTGGTTGCATTGTTCCCTGTACTTTATGGATGATACGTGAAGTGTAACTACTGTTCTAGTCATCTCCTTATATTGATTTTTGTAGACCTACAAGTTTTTCTTGGAAAATGTTGCATCTTACAAAGCTTAATTTTTAGTTTATATTATTATTTTTAATATTATGACGCATTACTTTTTTAATGCTGTAATCGCAGATACTGCTTCTTTTCTTTGTATTCATGATTTGGGCCATTCAACAAAAGACCTGGAAACAAAATACCTTTTGTTAGCCATCTGAATAGCTGTGACATTAGACGCTATTTCTAGTGCTTTAGAAGTTTCTGAATCTGGAAGGACTTCTAGCCTGGAAGTTTATCAGGTTTTCTAAACAAGACACTTGGAATAATTTGGTACTTTTATTTGGATGATGGTAATAAGCTGATGAGTAGACCGTAGATCCACAAACTTGAGAATAATTTCTGCAGCATTTAGACACCATTTCTTTTGTTTTCACTGTAGGAACTCGAAATGGCTGAAGATTCGCCAAGAAGCACGGCTGCTGAAATATCTGTAACAAGCAATGGAGACATTGATGACACCTCAGATCACAGCTTTAATCTGGTAAGTATCAGCATAGTGAATCATTATGAGGAGGGCTGTGTTAGACTGCATAAGGAGCAGTGGTCCTGCTTTTGGGGCATCTAGGGAGCTGTGGCAGATATCTTCTCTAGGTGCCTGCTATTTTGTCATGTTGCAGTTTACAAACTTCATGTACTTTAAATAAAGTTGTTTTAAAGATGAACTATGAGGTGAGTACTTTGCACTCACCCTCATAGTTCTAGCCGACCTGTGACAATGAGACTGTCACAGGTCGGCTCAGTAGATCGGGAAGTGAGCAAACACATACCGGCGTTCGCTCACCTCTTGATTCTGTCACAGCTCTCTGCCGTGACGGGAGGGGCTGGATTGCCCCCTCCACGCTCCGATCCGCCAGTGCTGACTGGCGGAACGGACAGGGGAGGGGGCTGGTACAGCTGGCTCTGCCTCTAGATAGGCAGAGCCAGCTGTCACTCACGCAGCTGGGCGGATCCAGACATAATTGTTGGGATCCGCTTCAGCTGCGGCGTCTCGGTATACCGCGAGCTACGGTGGCATCTCGGTATACCGCGAGCTGTAGCTCCCGGTATACGGAGCATAAGGTGACGGGAGGACGCTAGTTTGTGTCCTCCTGTTACCCTAAGGAGAACTATGGGGAAAAGCCCTAACCCCATAGTTCTCCTTTTAAGCAGTACGACATCAAGTAGTAAACCTTTTATACAGTCCATCACTTCAATGTCATTTGAAGTACAGTGGAATAGTGGTTAGCATTTCTTCCTTGCAGCACTGTGGGTCCCTGGTTCGAACCTCTCCAATGTTCTCCCTGCGCTTGTGCCTGTTTCCTCCCACACTCCAAAACACTGGAGGGTTAATTGGCTCCTGTCTAAATTGGCCCTGTATGTGTGTGAGCTAGGGACCTTGGATTATAAGCTCCTCAAGGGCAGGACCTGTTAATTTGAAGTATGTAAAGCGCTGCGTACATTGTTGGCGCTATATAAATACCTGCAATAACTTAACTACAGGCTGTTTTTTTTCAGTTGCACTATTCCCATCAGCTCCTAGGACACTTATGATTGTAATAAGTAAGATCTGGCATTGTGTGGGCAACAATATGGCTTTAGTTTAAAATTGATGTCAACCTGCGTACACTGTTATTTAAACTAATAGCTTTTAAATAGAGGCCACAGCCGCACTACTTCAGATGAAACTGCCACATAACCCTAAAACATTAGATCACAGCGTAAGAAAAAAAGACTTCATAAACCACTTGCTGTCCGGAGTATTTTCTTAGTATTTGCGCACACATGATAAAATATAAATTATGGGCTAGAAAACAGCTTCAGGCCCCCCAAACAATGATATACAGGTGAAACTTGAATTATTAGAATATCGTGCAAAAGTAATTGCAGTAAGTGCTGCAAAAGGGGCCCAAACCAAGTACTGAGTGCATATGCATGCTTGTACTTTTCAGAGGTCCGATATTATTCTATGTACAATCCTTGTTTTATTGATTGCATGTAATAATCTACTTTTTTGAGGTTGTGGATTTGGGGTTCTTGGGGTTTTCATGAGCTGTAAGCCATAATCATCACAATTATGACAAATCACGGCTTGAATTATCTTGCTTTGCATGTAATGAGTCTATCTCATATATTAGTTTCACCTTTTAAGTTGCATTAGTGAAATAAATGAACTTTGCACGATATTCTAATCGAGTTTCACCTGTATGTTCTGAAAGAAAAGGCCCTGTAGAATAAAAAAAATGCTAGTTGCAATTTTTACGTTGCACTGTTTTTGCGCACATGTTTATAAAACCAGTATTTCTAGTAAACAATAACCTAAATAAAAATTTAGTGCACAGAACCATAATATAATACCCAAATTTTCGGTAAAATATGAAAGACGGGTTTACGCCCGGTAAATAGATACCAAACATGTCAAGCTTTAAAATTGCGTTCGCCAAAAAAGTAAATACCCCAAATTTCCCATAGGGAACATTTCTAAACGCTTTTACCACTCATCAGTTTAGTGTTAACAGTGATTGATGGCCCTAGAATTATTGCTCTTACTCTAGCGTTCACGGCGATATGTAACGTTTATCGCAATAGTCGTTTTCGCACGTAGGCGCACTGACGTGGGGGGGCGGGGAACTTAAACATTTTTTTTTTTTGCATTTTTAAACATTTTTTTTTTACACTAACTCTATTGCTATTACATAGGTTGCTAACAAGCACCCTATGTAATAGCACATAGGGTGTGAGAGGTCCTCTTTATGGAGACGTCAGGTGTCTTTCAGAGCCCTAATGTCAACTAGAGACCCCAATGAAGCTGAGGAAGCAGAGATCTAAGAGCCGGGGACTGTGTACAGTGACACCAGGAGTGATGTATTACACATCACTTCCGGGTCTAGTGATCGGAGGAGAGATCAGCCGCTGAATCACTCTCTGATCATTGTGGGGAGACCCGCCAAGCTGCTCCCGGGCGCCACACGGGGACAGCGGTGCCCAGAGAAGACTGCCGGGGGGGCGCTGTTAAAAGCAGTATCAAGAACACAGCTGCTGTTTTAACCACTTTAACGGGCTGCCGGCTATAGACGTATTGCGGCCCGGAAGTGGTTAAATGGAAGCTGTTCTGTGCAGAAAACAAAATGTTAGTTGGTACTATCTGAGTTTATAAGGGATCTCCATTGCCAAACTAAGTTTGCTGTGTCTTCTGGTGTTCCGGCTATTTTTAGTTGCATTGAAGATATCTGTATTTTTCCACTTCTCATGCATATTTACATACCTGACTTCTGCATGTAGATGCAAGTACAGTCTGTGTACGCTGTTGATGTAATCAGTTTAGATACTAAGAAAATGGTTCTATTATCGCATAAGTGTTACCTTATGTCACTGTAGACACTGCATATTAATTCCTATTTTATTGGCTCTGCTCTTGCATTGTATATTCTATTGTGTAATTGTGGTAGATAAAGTAGCTTTAATGGCTCTATGGTTTGGCCTGGGATGACATGTACTCTTATACAGACTGCACAGGTGAGAGTCTATGCTGAGAGATGTTGGTTCTGTGTAACACCCACTAATCCTGTTTGCGAGCCTCGGCACTGCTCCCTCTTTCAGACTAGAAGACTCCACATCGGATGATTAAGTACTCACATTTCACTTCACCGTGTAAACGGTTTGCTGTCAATCACCAAGAAGAAAAATAAAATCTGCGGGGATAAATCTTTCATACATGCAGGGTTTTATATGATAAAAGTATGGCAACCGGTTTAATTTTTATAAGAAGCAGGGAGGGGCTGCTGTAAAATAGGTGCAGCAAATGTTGTGGTGATGCAATAGCTAGCACCTCTCATTTTATTCAAATGCTTAATCAGCCTTAACGGGAAATTTTCTCACCCAATATTCTATTTTTCAAGTGCAAAATCTTGATTGTCAACTAAGATATTTGCTGTATTTATGGTATGTTACAATGTTAAGTGCTTCTGTCCCTCTGGAATTATTCAGATTAGGCAGAAAGCCCTATAGTACCTTGCAGCAGTAGCCGTTTAATCCAAATGATTAGGGGTAGCTGGAAAAAAGGGTTTCTCTGCAGGACGAGGATAAGAGGGGTGATCAATATACATTGTTTGTGTGATTCAGTTAAAAAAAAAAATGTAGCCAAAATATATTTTGTGACCGGCAGACAGAAGATAAAGGATCCAAAAAAAATTGTTGTGTGCATGCTATAATACATGTTATTTGCATTGTGTTCATCACTGAGAACAAAACATAGTAGTGGAGTTGCACTTATTCAATAGTGTTATTTCATGAAAACATTATATTTAGCTTATTAGATCCACATTGTGAGCAAATAGGTTTTTTACCAATTGCATAAAAAAAAACCCTCCGTAAATCATTCATTTGTTTTACCTTTTGGGTTCTACTACTGTATGCTTTTTTTTTGGTCCGGGAACAAACTGTTTGGACCAGGTCTGGACATGATCCGGACATGGTGTGAACAAGCACTTGGACAACAGAAAATGATTTATAACTATCATATTTTCTATCACAGATCTGTTTGAAATAGTCATAACAATGAAAGATGACTGCTGACTGGTAGCTATGAGTTACTACATTTTTGGTGTGTGAACCTGGTTTGGTTAGTCACCCTCATGCTTTCATGATGGCATCTTAAGTTACTTTTGATATTGAGCTAATGGATCTTGCCCTGTGTTTCTTTCCTGTATTCTTCTGGTTGTTACAAGCGGTGAGTTCTTTTACGTTTTTTCTTTTTGTCAGGCGGCAAAAGCCTCTTACACACTGGATTCTGTTACATCTTATGTTGTCATTGAGGGAGATGAACAAGTGGAACTGCTCACTGCTTGGAGATCACAGACTTGCAGTAATTAAGTGTGACATCAAATTATCTGCCCTGACTGCAGCTGAAATTGGCTGCAATCTTCTAAATGTGTCAATTTTTGCATTATGTAAAGGCAGCATAGTCAAGCCACTGTATAGGCAGCTGCAGTAGGAGCCGACTTGGAGTTGGCCTTCAAATGAGATGCTGTAATTCAGACATGTTTGCCTCATCTAGTGTGTACGGGTTCCCATAAGCTACAGGAAATCTAAAACACAATACATACACATCTGTTTTTAGGAAATATTTTGCCAATTGTTTTGTATATGTTTATGTAAAATTGCAAATTAGTTTCCTCAGACTTTTGAAAAACATGATCAATTAACACATTCTATGTACCATATAAGCCGTCCCGAATATAAGCCGAGGTACCTAATTTTACCAAAAAAAACTGGGAAAAAGTATTGACCCGAATATAAGCCGAGGGTGGGAAATGAGGCAGCTACTGGTAGATAGATACCAATAAAATTACATTAATATTTATTTAAAAGAAAAATAACCTAGCTCTGTAAGTGGAAAAGGGGGTACAGGGCTACATATCATGTACTACGGATCATTTAACCCATTCATATTAGCAGAGGATAATTGTAAATCTATTGTTCAGTGCATTCTATATGTAGTATATA